TCTGGAGTAAAGTGACAATATTTTGTCTTTTTAATCTCAGTGGGTTGTTGGTCTAACAATTTCTTTATTTGACTTCAATACATTAATTAATTAATTGATCTTTCCTACAGGGTTTTTTACTGAAGCAGCAACTTGTTCAGCACTTAATTTTGTTAGGATCCTTTTCCTACTTTGGATTGCTCTCCATTTGAAAACATTTCAAGGTATGAGTGGTCCTATGAGAATGTTATTGGCATTATGCAAATATACACCTAAAAATGCAAAAAAAAAAAAAAATCCATTTGCAGTTTTAATTAAGTAATAAATTTAAAAAAATGCAGTTAAAAAAATCTGTGGTGCCCAGAAATTCTCACTTTTTATATTCTCACTCCTGGTCCATGAGGCCCACTTTCCAGTTTATTCATGGTGCCAAACCCATGGCAGAATAATGCATAGTCCCGCCCTGCGTGCGTGTGTGTGTGTGGGCAGGTAGGCGGGTAAATGCAGTAAACACATTTTCAATATAATCCTTTAACAAATCATTTGTCTAATTTTCTTTGTAGAAACCATGTAATGTTACATAGCAGAGCAGGAAACAAGGATCACTTTTAAGTATCACTACCATTACAATTAATAGTAAAGTTTTAGATTTGACACTTTGTTGGAGCCTCTTTATTGTGACATTTTTTATGCCTTTTGGCAGAAAGTTTTCAGTACATCTCTAATAAATATATTTAATAATATCTTATCTGAACCAGGAAGTCGAACATTCATTGATAGATTTTATTTCACATTATCATTTACTGTGATAGAAAGTGGCGCTGCATCATGTTTTTAAATGGGGAAATTGAATGAGACAAGAGAACTGGCCGAAGGATTACTGAAGTGAGACGGGGAAAGGGGGAGAGACTGTCAGCCATTTCAGACTCATATGGTAGTATGCAAAAGTCTCTTCGTGCAATAGAGGGAGGCACAGACAACTTGAAAACATAATACCTCCATCACATTTTAGCAGAGGTGTAAAAAAGGAAAAAAAGAGTTTTGCAGAGTACTGTATGTTGATTGGCTCAGCTGCAGGTCACATAAAGGTTTGCATGTTTGATAAAGTCATTTAAATTTTTTTTTTTTGGTATTTTTCTTTTCACCCCACACCTGCAACCCTCCTAGAATTTCTTCTACAGTTTGAATACCTGCCCCAGGTCCACCTTTTGCTTTCTGCAAGCTCTGAAAACACTTGCAGCAGGTCATCAGTATTTTTGATTACTTTATTTAGGCTTTTTGAAGCTGGGAATTAGTAAAAATGTGGGCTGTATGTGGGATTTAGAAAACACTGGCCTAATCAGTACATACTGTGTCCTTATTATATTGCAGATTATCGCCACCAATTAATTAACCGCTTGGCAATTCCACTACAATATACTGTGATAACACTTGTTGCTTATTTACGTGAGTATACATCAAACCATTACACCATTACCATCTGCAAGATGTTACTTCATACTTGTGTAAAGTGAAAAGTTAAGAAAGGAACTAATTAAAGAATAAAATCATTTTAAAATCATGTGGTTACACTCATCTTGTGCACTATATTTTTTAGAAAAGATTAAAAAGGATTAGTCACCATTTTTTAAAATTTCTAAGATGCAAATTAAAGTAACTGGCAGGAGCTAATTAACCATATCATCATCTTGGTCTACTGTCCTTTGTCACATCTTGGAAAGTTGCTGAAAAGAAGAAAAAAGTCTAATACTTTGGTTTAACACCATGGTTGGGGCTGCTACGTAATATAAAATGCAGTTTAATAACAGCATCCAAAATAGCAGAAAAACTTAAACAGTCAGGATTCAAATCAAAGGCAAACATACATACAGTTGCTGGAAATGAAGCAGACTTAATTGTGATTATCTGTCATAAATCTAAACCAAACTGCCCATAATATTGGCAGGGAGCAATGCAGTTATCACAAAATTATTTACTCAGTATTTACTAAAAATTATTTTAAAAAATCACTCCCAGTGCTGTGAAACCAGTGAATTAGTTCTGCTCTCAACCAGGTACCACCAGAAGTTAGATAATTAGCTAAATTAAGTCAACCTGTGTGCAATTAAAATGTCATGTGATCTCAATATAAACACACCTGTTCCTGGAAGTACCCAGAGTCTGTAAGAGAACAAAGCTAAACCCACAGCATCATGAAGACAAAGGAGCAATCAAAACAAATCCAGGACGAAGTTCTGAAAAAGCATCAATCAGATTTTTTGTTGTGAAAAATCCCAAACGTTATTAAAATATAGAAAAGAAAATATTGCACAAACATAATCAAGTATGTCAGTGGATGGTAAACAGCTCCTCTCCTCAGAGCTGTACTCTTTCTGGTCCACAAGGGGGGGTAATTGTCAGCAAGCACTGTTCAATGGCTACGAATCACCTAAGCAAAGAGCTATGGAACAATAGTCTTAGTAGTTGCAATCAGAACATTACCTGGTTGATCTTACAGTGTTATTTTACATGCTCCCACAAATCTGGGGTCCAGATTGCAGCAAGGAAGGCATAGCCAAAGGTCTTGGGCTGACACAGGGATTAATTCTCTCATTCCCTAATGCTCATTAGGGATAAATTCACAGTGATAAATTCAAGTATTTACAATATATTTTTTGTGAATCCATTTATTTCTGTAAAGCTGCTTTGTGACAATGTCCATTGTTAAAAGCGCTATACAAATAAAACTGAACTGAACTGAACTGAACACAGGAGGTGTTGATGAACAGATGAACTCCTGTTATAGGGTTCTTGAATATACTCCTCCACAGCTTTAGTTTCCTCATAGGAGAGAGGATTGTACAGAGATACGATGCCGTGCAAGAGTTCTACTGTTTCTCATGTGAAGATTGTTTAGTTTCTCTACTCTTACTAAATACCTTGTTGAGGTCTGTATAGCAGGGGGAATCAGCACTTTGAGTGGTGAGAATTACTTGGCATGGCCACTGGTAAGTGCAAACAGGTCTCTTGTCAGAAGCATGACCAGGACACAATGCCCTTATACTTCCAGTCAGTCTGTTTCAGAACACGACACCACAGGGCTCTTAGTGTGTTCTCTTGCCTGTAACAGATTCATCAGAAGCAGGATGTGGTGCCTAAACTTAGTGATTATATTACTAACTATTGTGATTTTTTTTGTTCTGGATTAGTTGAGCTAGATCTCGAGAACAAAAAAATTACAGTAATTTAAAAAATCAAACAAATTGTGCAAAGACATGCTCACATTTTTTTCTCTGTTAGACATAAAATTTAAAACGAACAAACAAACCATGAAAATATTTTTGAAACCAATGCAACTGTAAAGGTAATACTACCATTAAAGAGACGGCACAATTGTCACTTTTTTGATGTAAGTTTTTATGTAAATTACAGACCTTGTATTTCCCACATAACATGAATACAGTTGTTTATTTTTCAAGTGCAAGTTTACTGATATCATGAACGAGTGCTGTACATTTTCACTGAAACTGAAAGGAGTCCCATCTTACACTTTTACTGATAAAGCAGCACAACTGTAACATCACATGGGTCCATTGTAACACCACTCAAAGAACGCAGTAAACTTACATGTACATGTCTCCAGCAAGAGTGGACCGATTTTTTCCACTGATTTTTTCAAATAAAAATGCAGTAATGATGTTACAGATCTCCTCCAGTGCAGTATTTTAATACATTATATACTTCCTTTACATGTTTTTACATCTGTATTTCTCCAAGCAAAGCTTTTGGTATTTTTGTTTACAAAGCACTGTATGTATTTGTGTAATATACTAAAATTTTTTTGTTCTTTTTATTGTCTAGCTATTCTTGTGGATCTCTGGTATAAAATAAACACTCAAGGGAAAGTGTCCATTGTGGTAGGTCTGCTAATGAAGTTAATTCTGACTCTTCTGTATGTTATCGCTGTAGGTAGGTGTTTCAACAAATATTTGTTTTATATTAAACAATTCTTATTGTGTGTGTGTGTGTGTGTGTGTGTGTGAGTGAGAGAGAGAGAGAGAGAGAGAGAGAGAGAGGGAGAAAGTTGGTGTAGGGACATGAGTATAGAAGCCAGAGGAGAGAACATGTTTGAGATAGTTTACTTCTAACATATAGAATGACATTCCATAGTGTTTGTGAGTGTATTTACAGCCAGAATATAAATTTCAGCATGATGTGTTGTGGTTACATCAAACTGTCAGACAGTGGAGATAGACTTAACACTGCTCCTCACTCGAGCCGATATCACTTGAGAAACATGCATCAACATCAGAGTCGAGCGTAACTGAGACACGCCTCTGCGCATAATTTTAAAATAACTTCTGAACAATGTTGAAGTCTGTAGTTGCGTCTGATACGATATTAACTCCTCACTACATGCACTTAGATCCACACTTAGTGAGTGTGCTGACAGAGCATCATCATAATCTGCTGACTTACAGTCAAATATGCTGAAACTGAAAGTTTGGAAATGCAGTAAATAATACCAGGGTTTTCCAGAGGGCTTAGGTGCTGTCTGGGTTCCTTGGGGGTGGTGCTGGTTGGGGGGTTTGAAACTGGTTTTCAGTGGTTTTAACTACATACTGAGTAGTTAAACAGTTTACTCTGTTTAAGATTCAACTTTATCATCATTGTGCAGTACCAATGAAATGCAGTCCTTTCACATATCCCAGCTTGCTAGGAAGCTGGGGTCAGCCATCATACAGCAGATGTGGTTCAAGCCCCAGCTTGTGCTGGGGCTTGAAGCCAAACCTTCCAATCAGTGATCCATAGCCTTAACCGTTCAGCCACCTCTGCCCATAAAGAAGTTACATTTACATACATTTATGGCATTTGGCAGACGCCCTTATCCAGAGCGACTTGCAATTATCTCATTTATACAGCTGAGCAGTTGAGGGTTAAGGGCCTTGCTCAAGGGCCCAGCCATGGCAGCTTGGCAGTGCAGGGACTTGAACTCTCAACCTTCCGATCAGGAGGCCAATGTCTTAACCACTGAGCTACCACTTCCCAAGTTCGTGGGGTCGAACCACCAACCTTTCAGTTAACAGCCGAACTCGCTAGCCTACTGCACCACAGAGACTGAGGACTGTGTAGTCTTAGGCACCCTAATTTTTTTAAAAAATACAATGTTGTTATAGATGTTTATTTTATGACTTCTGCATTATTGAATAAGTACAAAAACATTTTAGATTTTAAAACATTCATTTTCCAACAAAAAAGTTAAAGTTACAGAAAAAGGTTTGTATGCCAGTAAAGAAAGTAATACAACATAACACACCACTTTTTCAGTCAGAAACACATGATGAAGGCCACTGGGTTTAACTGCAAAAACAGAAGCGAGTGCGACAGTCAGAGTCTCAGATTCTGAAACATGCTCAGTAAAACATACCTCCTAATTTCTTATAAAACTGTACAAAGTGTACTTTACACTGCTGATGCATTTATTAAACTTGATTACTGTTTACTGATCTTTATAAGTTGAAACAGTTCATTTCATTATATTCAAAGGCTGCCACAATCTCTAACTATAAAGTTTCTTTTATAGTGACCTGTGTGCATTCCTATTATTTTCTGTTTCTCAGGTCTGGTGTTTAAAACGTTACCTTTAGTTTTGGGTAGCTGTCATAATATCTGGAATATAAATACCATTCATGTGTTTTTATTTCTTTGTCTTTTAAAAAGGCCTTGCAGATGTCTGAAACAACCTTTTAATAATCCTCTATTTCCCAATACAGTATGCTGTAGAAGGACTGTACAAACCAAAAGAATTACAGAATTACAGATTACAGAAATCATCAATGTTCTCAGAATATATGTTATGATATCACTATACAGACTTCAACCCAGTAAGTACCAATTTTGCAGGTAACGTTACATTTGATTGACATTTCAATAAATGTACTATTATATCTTCCTAAAGACTTTTTATCCTAAAGGCTAATATATATATACACTATATTACCAAAAGTATTCGGTCACCTGCCTTGACTCACATATGAACTTAAGTGCCATCCCATTCCTAACCCATAGGGTTCAATATGATGTCGGTCCACCTTTTGCAGCTATTACAGCTTCAACTCTTCTGGGAAGGCTGTCCACAAGGT